AATATATGCATACATAGTACAGAGACTTTCATTGGGTTTTAATTACATTATTAATGAAATGTATGTATCTGCAGGGAGCAATGTGACACAGGAGAAAAACATACTGGCTAGAAGGGCATTTCTCCCAAGGCTGTATACAATAGAAAAAAATCTCGGATACATGTTCAGCAAACACATTCTAAAAAGGACGAAAAAAATCTCCTGTTTCAGAACTCGGGCTGAACTGACGTTTTCATTACATGAATAACGGATAATTTCTATATGTGTCAGTCCACTGGAACTGGAGTGAAACAGAACTTACTGAACAGCTAAGCAGAAGTGACTGAATAAATCAGAAGTTATCCCAAGAGGGACGGTTTTTCCTGCATCTCTTCCAGAAGGTTCTGTGGTTGCTACATCTTTCTCTCCTCGTTTGATCAAACAGTGAAGTCTATGAGCTAGCCAGAGATAATACCTTCCTTTTTGGCTTAGAGAAGGTTTAACAAGGAAATCAAAGGATATGTGCTCAATTTCGAGGATAAAAACAGGTTGACAAATCGCTCAAATTACCTGAAATAGTTATGACATGGTACAGGACTGTACAGAGAAGCAGCAACACTACAGTCAGTCAGTTATTTAAATTAGTCAGTGTTAGAGAAAACGATAATAAACACCAATCTTGTCTTATCGTAGGCATCTGAGTAGGTATAAATATAGCAGATTAAATCTTTACCTATTTTAAATTATTATAACTTTATTCACTTCAGCAGAGTCATAGCTACTCTAGTGTTCATAAACGGAAGGTAGAAAAACTGGACAGAACAATTATAATTGTCCATATACATTTCAGAGTAAATTTGTTGTCACTCTTCAGAAAATCGATCGCTGTCATGGAAAATCAGTGAAAATCTGTTTAACATGCAACAGATAGCATAGGAATAGCTTAGGTTAGAATAGGAGAGAAAATAAAATTGGAAATATTATAATCATACATATATATAATGGCATGTAAAAATGATATTGTATATACATATGTTACATGATGATGCATATATATATTTTTACATACATATAATCATATTTATTGTGTATTGGTTTTGTAAAGAAGCTCATAAATGGATGATGGAAAGCTGTTGAAGCCAGGGAAGGACTGTCTTTCTGGAGAATAGATTAGATGCTAGAGAAGGGAAGAGTAAGAATAAAATGTGATTGAAGCTTTTAAAGCAGTGAATGCTGAAAACTACATTGTGTAAACTGAAGAAACTGAAACATTAAGTGAGTTCTCAGGAACCCGTAAAACTTAAAGGCAAGCAATATATTTTTTTCCACAGTATATAATTAAGTAATAGAACTGATTTTCAAAATATGTAAATGAAGCCAACAGTTTGAAGCAATTTATTTAAGGAACAGGCAATAAAAGACACCAATGCCTTTGCTTCAAATAAAAAGCAGCTGTCCACAAATGGGCATTTAGAGTAAGATTTATTAAACGGTCAGGTTATTCAAACATTATGCACTTAGTTTTAATTCTAGTTTTAACTCTACATTAGGAGTGACTACTGAGAGTCGTTAGTAGAAAAAAGGTCATTTTCTGTTGGCTCGCTGAAGCAGGTTACACCAGGAGTACCAGGAGAAACTCTCTAAGCAAAGTGATTCAGTTTTAACCGAGTCATCTTTAAGGACTGTTCCCTAAGAACAACCAAACATTGTGAGAAGGTTTGAGCTGATTTTTTTTTATCTTACTATTTCTATTAAAAGGCCTCTAATTACAGGATCAAAGAGTCACTCGGGCAGGAAGGGGCTTCAGGAGGTCTCTGGTCCACCTCCCTGCCCAAAGCAGGGCCATCTCTGGGATCAGACCAGGCTGCTCAGGGCTTTCTCCAGGCAAGTCTTGAAACGCTCCAACGACGGAGCCTGCCGAACCTCACTGGTTCCACTGCTTGACTGTCCTCGGGGCGAGAATCTTTTTCTTTATATCCAGCCTGAACCTCTCTTGTTTCAGCTTGTGTCCATTTCTTCTTGTCCTTCCACCAGAGAGCTGGTCCTCCCGGCTGTCATTTGAAAACTTGCCTGGGAGCCCTTTATTATACTCCCGTGACATGTAAAAATGTCAGGGAGAACACCCGCCCACCCACCCTGTAGAAGATTTTGTGTACCGTGTTCTGGCCGACACTGCCGATACTGATTGCACCGACACCGATACTCGATTAGGCAGGCTTTGGTTCTTGCATTTGTCAATGTTATGTCTCTCTTTCTCTTTTTGTTTGGATATATCAGGAACGTTTGGCCAGCATGTTCTTATCTATACTATTTCCTGGACAATTTTAATGTGTTCCTATAGTCGGTAAAGGAAAGTGTGACTATTAAGAAACTAAACAAAATCTGCATGTAATTATGTTTGGGGTGGCAGTTTTCCCTGTGTGTATTTTAGTATGAAAATCTAATAAGAGATACTGGAAAGGATTTTCCTTTCAAAACAACCTTGAAATGTCTTTCACAATGACATTTGATACTCCATTACAGTCATGCTTCAAAAGCGGGGGGGTTAGGCAGCTGTCTACCAGAACGCTGGATGTTGATGTAGCAAGCTTAGTAGGTACTGGATGGAATATGTCGTCAGGCTCCTCAGAGGAAAGATTTTCTTGAGGGTTATATAAATAAAGCATCTTGACAGACTTAGGAAAAATGCACTGATGTTATGCGAAATATATATGTTGTCTATAGCTGTATATATTGTAGATGATTGATGAGTATACACTGTAAAAGTTCAGGTCATAGGTATTCACGTGAGGCTATTTTAGTAGAATCGTTTCTGAAACCATACGTTGTTCAGTCAAAAAAAGAATAGCAAAATTTGGCCCATAATGAAGGACTTTGTCACACTACAAGACAGTTAAGATAAGACCGCCACCAAAATAGTCTGTCTAAATGCTAAGGGCTGTGGGTGGGAGTCCACATTTGCTATGGCTTTCCATAGCAACAAACATTTGCTAGCACTTAATCAATAATGAAGCAATCCTGTATTTCATGGGTTATGCAGGTTTTCAAATAACTTTACATCAAGACTTCTCTTTAAAAATGTTTCCTAGGTTTTTTTAGGGAAAAGTAGAAGAGGATACAAAAAAGCATGACTGAAAGAAGAAACCAAATATATTGTGGGAAGGAGCCTGAAGATTAGCTTCTTTCTGGCTGAGTTAGGCTGATCTACAGTCAGAATGTGAGATTTGGGGAACTCTATTTTTTGGCTTGTAAGGCTACATAATGTAAAATTTTCATTGGACTACACTCAAATTGGGTCCTTGTCCAGCAACAACAACCTCCTTAAGCTGTCCGCTTTTCACATGCACACCTGTTAATATATTTTAAAAAGAAGTACTCAAAATATGTTACAAGCAGAGACATAACATATGTCAGTAAGAATAAATGAGGTGATTTAGAATTGTACTAAAATCTTCAGGGTGCCTGGTTGGTGAGCCATGCTCTAAAGCGTTGCAGATTGACCTCAGCTGGAAACAGGATACAGCCGAGCAAGTAAAATTGCTGCAATGGATCCTTGTTGCTCCTGCGCTCTTTGTGTAGCACATTACACTCTCGCTTTGGTCTCTTAGAGCTAAAGTTTGTAAGAAATGTTGGAAGATATTCTGTGATCTGTGGTGAGTTGGGTCAAACGTAGTCAAAGCTCTGTAGATCTGCGTCCACTGCACAGCTGCATGCAAGCTTGGAGGACTGAACTCAAAGATCCATTCGGTCCCTTTCAGCAGCAAATCCCCAGCTGGGAGCAGAGAGGGAAATAAAAGAGTGGAGATTTAAAGCTGCAAAGGCTGAGAAGTAGAGGAGGAACTGCCGGGACAAATTTCCTAGCAAAAAGAAACATTGTAAAACAGAAGGCAAGCTCCACATTGAAACAAGGAAAACGTTACTTGCTTTAGAAAGATCTATTTCTTGTATCGGGTAAGATAAATTGCAGTTTGTTTTCCTTTTCCTGAGTCTGTACGTGTTTTCTTCAACTGTCACCTGTACCAATGGTAAATTGGAATGTGCCGGAAGAGTTGGGGGACGTTGGATCTCCTGGGGCACCTTCGGTGCCTAGACACAAGGACTGGCAGCACCTGTTTTTTGGAGACTTATTTCAGGAGAGTGCGGGGGGGAGTCTGCCCTCGTAAAGCATGCCGCTGAGCTGATGGCTGGACCCTTCCTCATCAGGGCGAATCTAAAGTCTTTTAAGCCCAGCATATGTGTACTGACATAGAAACAGGATGAATAGCTACAGAAAGGATTAATTGGCAGTGTCAATTTAAATACTAGATGACCATAAATGCGAATGTGAATATTCGTTGGATATCAAAATTGCCATTTTATTTTTCTTCTGAAGGGAGTACTGCTTTCTAAAGGGAGTAAGTGCTCCTGAAATTGTAGGCGCCCTCTAGTTCTCTATAATACCCTCACTTTACAAACAACAATCTTTTGAAACATCACTTTCAAAACTCTAATAACTTGAACAGATGTTCAGTCAAATGAATATTTTATGAGAGATGTCAGTAAACTCTGGGAGATAAAATTTGGGTTGAAAATCAGAACTTGTAAATAGATACATAAACAAGGCCACTATTTAATAGGTCCACAGCAATTGTACATGGAAGAAAAATGTTCTAAATCCTTTCTGCCTGTCATAGTCCAGTACATATGTTAAAGAAAGCAAAACTAACCAAACACTGAAAGGTGGGCTGGTGGGCTGATTAGCTAATGCAATTCTGCCAAACAAATTTAATTTTTTTCCAAAATACGTTAGATGTTACACTTAAACCTATCAAATAAAAATTCATATGGCCATGGTTTTTTCACTTCCAGCTTAAAATAACGATACCGACCTTGGCACGAGGTAAGTTCTTGAGATTAATGACCAGCTTGGGTTAATGATCCTTGGCTGTGCTGCTGACCTTCATCTCCTCCCAGCCGGTCATTAATCCTCAGGAAATTTACTGCACCTTGACTGTTATTACTTACATAGCCCACCTACAAACCTCAGGAGCTGTGGCGAATATGTAAGTGGTGCTTCGCACCGAGAACTCCTACAACGGAAAACAAAGCAAAACCAGCTTTGAAACTTTAAAAAATCAGACAGACAAATGATACGACTTTGACTGAAGGGTTAGTAACAGCCTTCATCGTGCGCTGTTTTCTCTGTGTGAGTCTTGAAGCAATTATTGAAGAATATTGCAGAATACGAGAAGTGTAGTGTTTGGCACTGACTACCCGGTTCAGGCATTTCTAAAACAGCTATCAACTTGGAATTTAAATGCCAAATACAATATTTTGCCTTGATGTAATTCTACAAAGTACCATTCATTCTCCTTTCACTGGAGATGGTGCAAATCAGAACAATGCTTTCATGAAGGTATAAAATGAGCGGGGAGGTTTTTGCTCATCGGTTATTTTTCCCTACCCACCTGTCACATAGTCAACTCTCGCACTTAGCTACAGCTTATAGACGGAGATTACGAGGCAGAGAGAAGATGTGATTTGCCTAAGACCTTACAAATAGCCACGTATGGAGTTATAATCAGAAGATGAGCTTTTTTCTAGTTAATGCTGATGTTAGCGTTCATTCCCGAAGACCATTTTTCCTTCTCTGCCTGTGCTGCGCTAAGGATGTGATGTTTATACACCTGGTGACGGTGTATAAACCAGAGTTGCCTTTCCTAGCGCTAAGAACTCCGTCACAGTTCCAGATACAGAAGCAAACGGGAAGAAAAATAAGCGATAGGATAATCCTTTCCGCAGCTGTTTGAACCGGCAGTTCTGGAAAAACAAAGAAACACCACAAAACCCGTGACTGAAATCAGACATGAATGCTTCATGGTGTCAGAGGTCTTACTGTTAAACTTGGATCTGACTGAACTTCCTTTTCCCCCCAAAAGCGAACAAACAAGAAGCCAGGAGTTTGAGTAGAAAGACGCCCTAGAACCCTTTAGCCACGTAAGTTAACGTCTGTAGAATTTGTGTCAGCAAAGACACTTTTCTTTGCAAATTAATGGCTTTAAAGGCCATGGCTGTAAAGGCCAAGGAGGCTAATTATTACAGCGCAGACCATCCCCGTAGCACAGAAGCCGTGCAACCTCAAGCAGGGCGCAGGGCGCGTCCTTTACGGACACGCCCACTCGATTTGCAGGCCGCCTCCGGCCTCGCGCCCGGAACGAAGCAGGGGAGGGGCGCGGGGACGAAGCGGGTGGTTTCTCGGGTGACGCTGGGCGCCGGCAGGGCCCGAGGCGCACAGGTTTACCCTTCCCTTTGAAGAAGCCCGGCTCGGTCCCCGGGGCGCA